ACTTACATATGAAGATACAATTTACGGTGGTTTGCTCTACATAGTGGCCTGTTGGGGTTGTTCATGCGGCAGAGCACACACTGGGGATCAATTTCTGACGGCTTTCTCTACATGTGAACATTTATTATCAATAATTTAAAAGTGCTCTACCACACCACACATAGTCTCTCAAACTTCTAACTCTTGCCTCTACTATACCTTTCTCCTCAGATGTCTTCCTTTACTCTCCCTGAGTAAATTATACTCATCATCATCTCATTAATCATGTTTTCTTATCTCAATTCTATAATTGTCTTCATTCCATATACCAATTAATTTTTCCTCACACTTACCCTCTCTCCCAGACCTGCTGAATCTCTCGCCTCAAATTAGTTTTATCTCTGTGTTGTACCTCAGAATTTATCGGCCCCATGCTAGTGGCTGCAAGACACATACAGATCTTGTTAACACTCCACAGATGAATTTCAACTGTTTTACATCACAAATTCAAGGTTAGTTATGTCGTAATACTGACTGGGCTGGCGAATCTGCAGCAGAAATTCATGCAATATTTTATGAAAGAATTTTACGAACCCTGCGCGCGCGCGCACACACACACACACACACACACACACACACACACACGGACACATACATACTCAATACTCACACAATATATTTTTATATCCTTAAAGGTCAGGGAGTAAGCAAAAATATAACCTGAAAACCCTCACATATTGGCAGCAGAACTGTACAGAGTGACGTCACTGTTATATGCTGTGAGGTCACACTCTCCTTTGGCGTCATTGTTATACCTGTATGTTCACGACCCAGTGACGCACTATCTATCCTTGACGTCAGTACTGACGCTATACAATTTAGTGTGTGTGTGTGTGATGCGTAAATGTGTTGCAAAAGTTCTTTAATACTCATATATTTTTCTTGTGCTTGAGTCCTGGTACATAGAAGCAAACCTGTATGTAAACATAATGCAACCTATATAATTAGTAACACCTACAGTAACTATCTTAAGGTAATCACCTTACTTAACCTGACAAAGGTAAAATGTTTGTAATGTTAACACCACAAAATGCATTTTAAAAGAAACGCAGTAATTTTTACCATATATACTTATTATGCTGCACAGTCCGTTTGAAGCGCTTAGAGGCTTACCTGGTCGATCATCCTAAATCGCACATCAGAATATCACGCTGTCCGTTTATTTATTTGTTTGTGTGTCGGCACGAGAATGTCGGAAACTACTTTACCGATCTGTAGTGATGATGGATGGTGTTATATGTAGTGATGATGGATGGTGTTATATGTAGTGATGATGGAGGGTGTTATATGTAGTGATGATGGATGATTATATGTAGTGATGATGGAGGGTGTTATATGTAGTGATGATGGATGGTATTATATGTAGTGATGATGGAGGTGTTATATGTAGTGATGTGAGAGTGTTATATAGTGATGATGGAGGTGTTATATGTAGTGATGATGGAGGTGTTATATGTAGTGATGATGGAGGGTGTTATATGTAGTGATGATGGATGGTATTATATGTAGTGATGATGGAGGGTGTTAATAGTGATGATGGAGGTGTTATATGTGGTGATGGTGGAGGGTGTTATATGTAGTGATGGTGGATGATGTTATATGTGGTGATGATGGAGGGTGTTATATGTAGTGATGGTGGATGGTGTTATATGTAGTGATGATGGAGGTGTTATATGTAGTGATGATGGAGGGTGTTATATGTAGTGATGATGGATGGTGTTATATGTAGTGATGATGGATGATGTTATATGTAGTGATGATGGATGGTATTATATGTAGTGATGATGGGGTGTTATATGTAGTGATGATGGAGGGTGTTATATGTAGTGATGGTGGAGGTGTTATATGTAGTGATGGTGGATGATGTTATATGTAGTGATGATGGAGGTGTTATATGTAGTGATGGTGGTTGGTGTTATATGTAGTGATGATGGATGATGTTATATGTGTGATGATGGAGGGTGTTATATAGTGATATGGTGGAGGGTTATATGTAGTGATGGTGGAGGGTGTTATATGTAGTGATGGTGGATGATGTTATATGTAGTGATGATGGAGGGTGTTATATGTAGTGATGGTGGATGGTGTTATGTAGTGATGATGGAGGTGTTATATGTTGATGATGGATGATGTTATAGTGATGATGGAGGGTGTTATATGTAGTGATGGTGGAGGGTGTTATATGTAGTGATGGTGGAGGTGTTATATGTAGTGATGATGGATGATGTTATATGTAGTGATGATGGAGGGTGTTATATGTAGTGATGGTGGATGGTGTTATATGTAGTGATGATGGATGATGTTATATGTTGTGATGATGGGTGGTGTTATATTTAGTGATGATTAGACAATAAAATAATTACAGTTTAATGCTAAAAAATTATACTTTACTCTACCGTTGTAGTGATAAACTTGGTGGAACTTACATACAACGTTAATGAACTATTAATGGAAGAAGAAGTTTTGGGGACTGAACAGTGAGACAATGTGGAGCCCCGGAGGGTGGCGTCTTACCGTGGCCTAGTGGATGAGCGCGGAGGCGATTCTGCTAGTATATATATATATTTATTTATATATATATATATATATATATATATATATATATATATATATATATATATATATATATATATATATATATATATATATATATATATATATATATATATATATATATATATATATATATATATATATATATATAAAAAGAACGGCGTGTATTCCAAAGCATGTAAGGTTAGCATCCTTTGCCCTATAAAAATTCTTCCCCTCAAAAGTAAATAGAATTATACATTGCTTTGTTTCTTATTGTTTCAGAATACAAACACAGATTTAATAAATAATCTGTAGCTAGCGTCTTACAGAGTAATGGCGAGCAGTAGGTGACGGAAGCCCTTCACGATATAGTGTGAGTTGCAACGAGGGAATGAATCACTGTCAATAAAAGTTCTCAGTATTTATTGACTCGGTAAGAACAACAAATGAAATGACATTGACACCTTTTTTGGTCAAATCTTCTAATTTTTTCTCGCTCTTTCTCTTTCTTTCGACGGAAAATATAAACAAATCCTTGTTTCTATTTGTGTGATGGAAACTATTTGGTAACTCGTCAAAAGTTTATATTCAGAGTATAATCGTTATAGTACACTATTGTCACGGTCCATGAGAATGTGTCTTCCCTTCTTGCGACTTGTTAAAGGTCAAAACACACGAGTGCAAGAGGATCATTTACTTTAGTAAGAAATACGCTGATACCCTTGGTGGTAATTCACCGAGCGCAAATGCATAACATACTGATCGTTTATGTATTTTTTATTTTTTTAAGGGGATCAGCCCACCCGGGCAGAGGTCACTGACCCACATCGGGGCCTGGGGGCGAAACTGTAATAATTATTCATAGTAAATAAAGTATATAATAAAAAGTAAATAAAATAATAATGATAACAATTATAATAAGGACACTATAATAATAATAATAATAATAAAGAACTATAAAGAAATACAAGAAAAATAGTGAGAAACGCTATATGTATGTTGTGTTGTCAAGTACAAGAAACAATTGATTCCCTGCAATTATGTGTAAATGAGGCAGAAAGACAGATCAGCAACCTGGGACTTGGTCACAATTTTTCTGATGACATATGGCAGCAGGGTTAATGTTATACTACAAATTATAATTCTACTCTTAATGATGTAGTTCTGTATTTCCATTGAGTGTGTGTGTGTGTGTGTTTGTGTATCTAATTTCTAATTTATTATTTCACCACTTAAAATCTTACTTGCTGTGATGGTTGATAGGGTCACAGTGGATACACGCTTCCCACGAGTGTCATGGGTAAGGAATCGAACCCATGACATACTTATGAGAGAAGCCACTGATGTAATTGACTTTCCTCAGAGGAAGCGTATACGTAGGATGAATAACAGAACCAATGTGTGGATAAACAGCAACATTATATTTCGTGACAAATATATCTTGTTACCAGCAGACAGAGACTACATGAAATACAATGATATTAATGTTAAAAACGTAATCTAATTATATCAGAGTTAACTGTAATATGGGCGCCTTAGGAAATTCACAAAAACAAAAACGATAAAGAACACAATTAGCAAAACCTTTGAACCAAATACTGAAGGTAAATAAACACTGATAAACACATTACATATAAGTTAAAAACAAAGGTTATGAGAAGAGGAATGCTGGGTGCCCAGGACTGACTGGACTTGTTAGGAGCTTGCTAGTTCGTGGGTCATGTAATAACATTAATAATAATAATAATAATAATAATAATAATAATAATAATAATAATAATAATTATTAATAATAATAATAATAATAATAATAATAATAATAATAATAACGATAATAATGATAATGATTTTAATAATAATAATATTAATAATAATAATAATGATAGTAATGATAATAATAATAATAATAACAATAATAATAATAATAATAATAATAATAATAACAATATTAATAATAATAATAATTATATTAATAATAATAATAATAATAATAATAATAATAATAATAATATTATTATTATTATTATTATTATTATTATTATTTTTATTATTATTATTATTATTATTATTATTATTATTATTATTATTATTATTATTAATTATAATTACAATAATAATAATAATAATAATAATAATAACAATAATAATAATAATAATAATAACAATAATAATAATAATGATAATAATAATAATAATAATAATGATAATAATAATAATAATAATAATAATAATAATAATAATAATAATAATAATAATAATAACAATATTAATAATAATAATAATAATAATAATATTAATAATAATGATAATAATAATATTAATAATAATAATAATTATAATTACAATAATAATATTATTAATAATAATAATAATAATAATAATAATAATAATAATAATAATAATAATAATAATAAATCTTCACTGGCCATCGCACATTGAATTCTTGAAAGAACCTAAAGTACTTATGAGGACATCTGCAGAAGACTTCAGCTGTGAAGTTGCCTGATACTCAAAAGTTCGAAGATAAGGACAAGTAGACTCACAAAGTGTCCCCCGAAAAGCACCACAAACATACCCTGAAATAGACGACAGTCACCATGAGCTACAGAAACATGGATGTTTCCAAATGTGTCTCAGAAGAGGTCTGCTACTGAGTAACATACCTTTATATGTACTTCGAGTTTTATGATAATTATGAAGTTCTTGAATTCCAGGACTGTCTGTTACATGTTTTTTTATTACATTTTCCCTTTTATTAATATTAATTCGCTATTCCTGTTTTTGTGCTTTATTAAGGTATTATGTTATTTTATCTTCAAAATATTTATCTTCACAAACGATTTTTTCCACTTCAGCTTTGTAACAAAAATTAATAAAATCAGTAAACTCGCTGCGGAATTTAGTCTTTTCCTCGGAAGTCACTTCTTAGCCTTTGACCCTCATTATAAGTCTCTGTGCATAATGGTCTGAATATTGGGAGCTAGAGTTATATATATATATATATATATATATATATATATATATATATATATATATATATATATATATATATATATATATATATATATATATATATATATATATATATATATATATATAATTGATAAGGCAAAAATATCACTTGTATTTTCATGCTTGATTGTAAACCAAGTGGTCATGCATGAAAGGAATAATGCTGAACTGTGTATCGTAATCAAGCGTCATGACACTTTTCAATTTCAATCGGTTGTACTAGGTGTTATTTGGAACAGCTTACTCATACACTCCATACTTTTGAAAAATAGAATATATATGCATGACATTCGATACCTAAGTTATAGATACCAATACTAGATACCAATACAGTATAGATACAATGGCTCGATTGCTGTGTCTCCCGTCAGCTGACAACAGAGGCCAGAGGGGTTCAGTCCCCAATACAGTATAGATACAATGGGATCGATACCTGTGTCTCCCGCCAGGTGACAGCAGAGGCCAGAGGGCTTCAGTCCCCTCTATAAGGACAGTAATGCCAACTTTGCAGTAGATGTCGCTATTTTCTATACCTCGCACTGTAAGCCATCATGAGCATAAAAATCGCTGCATATTCAAGCAGCTTACATCCATATGGCGTCATGTTTTAGTGATTAAGCTTAATTTTTTCCCCAGGGTATTGTTACTAGGTGCCGTTTTGTAAGCTTTAAGCTCGAAACGAATTCGCGTAACTCTCAAAATTGAAGGTCCTGGAGAAGTTTAGTCCCAAGACAAAATGGGCATACAAAGCTTTGCACCAGATTACACAACATGGATAATCAAAATTCTAAAAAATGAAGGAAATAACAGAAATGTAAAGTTGATTGATCGGAAATCAGAGCACACTGAGTTTTAATGTGTTTAATGATGGTCAATAGAGCAAAGGTAGACTCCAAAATCACGACTTCCCGATGAACATAATATGGTCCCAGTAATTCAACTTTTTAAGTGTGAGAGGAAGTATCAAAGTCACAAATAAATTAAAACTGATCCCATTCAATGCTAAAACGGTCAAACTAAGATGAACAGTATGATTTATTAGACGATTAAAACCGCACATTGTGTGAAAAGAACAGTTGCGTAGAAAGGGAGAAGGGATGAGTTGATTTTTTTCTCTCTCTATTTGTTTATCTCTCCTTTCCTCTCTATATTTCAGGATATGGAATAGAACCACTAAGGGAAGTTTAGACACTATTTTTTGTATACATTAATGCGCAGTACCCAAAGGTTGTGGATGGACAGTGAGGTGTTGACAGTAATCTTGGTCGGAGGATATGCACATGAGGTAGAGTTGGGCATGTAAGCCTCAGTCCAGTGGTCATAGAGCCCTCCTTGTGTCACTGACTTGATTCTGTGAAAGATTAATCGAAATAAAACTTTTTTTATATACAAAAGCATGACGTACAGGTACACTCGCCACAAAAAATTATCGAACGCTCTAACGGTCATACATTAGGCAAAATAAACGAGAAATCTAAACATTGCTATCTGCGGAAGTTTTATTGTAATTTAAATTATTTTTTCTTCATCTGTAAATATTATAAAGGCGAGCAACATACTGTATGCTATTACGAAAGACTGAAAGTCACTTCGCAGCCAGGCACACCAACCATTCTGAGATGACGCGAGCCAAAGTGCTCATTCTGAAATCTGTTGTGCCCAATTGTTCGAGAATTTTTTGTGGTTAGTGTACATAGTTAACTCAGTGTTATTCTTTAACTAGTGTTCAATAGACACATACAATAAAGCTAAAAAAATCACATCTTCAGAATCAGAGTAACAAGTAATTAGCTTGAAAGAGATTAAAGATATTATTAGATAAAACTTTTACTTTCTGATAACTTTCTGAATTCTTAGTTTTGTTTTAATATATTTGTACGGTATTGTTAGCAAAAAAAAACTCAGATAAAATATATGGCGGCATACCAACTTTCTGAATTTGATAGTCTGAAATGTCATTAACATGTCACATAATTTCAAACTTAGAAATTTTATGACAAAGCTGGTTCTGTGTTCAGCTTCAGAGTAGCAGAGCGACTAAGTGTCATTATTGGAGGAAATCTTGCAAATGGTGTTACAAGTATGAAAATTTGGCATGAAGAATCAATATGGGTTGATTATCAAATCTATCTGATTGGATATTAAAAATCCCAATATGGCGGCCATTTTCCAAGATTGTCGCCAAATGTGGATGTCCAATTTTCCTTTTGGGCATAAAAATAATGCCTCCTGAATATTACCTTGTAATTCAATTGACAGTAGGAACAGTATAGAATCCAGTCTCATTAAACATACCGAATCCGTCAAAATGAATTTGAGTAATGATATGTACAACTGGAAAATTTCGTAATTTTGAAGATTTGTAACCAGGTAAATTTGCTGATGACACTAAAATAGGACGTGTTATCAAATCTGACGAGGACTCGGCAAAACTACAGGAAGATCTAAACAAATTTTTCGAATGGTCTGAAAAATGGCAGATGAAATTCAACGTCGACAAATGTAAAGTACTCAGTATAGGAGATGTAAACAGGGAAACCAGATACCAGATGAACAACGATGCCATAGAGAAATCCGACTGCGAGAGAGATTTAGGAGTAATGATAAGTAGGAACCTTAAGCCAAGTAAACAATGTGTTTTTGCTCGTAACAAGGCTAATAAAGTACTTGGGTTCATACAAAGGAGTGTTAGTTACAAGACTAGCGAGGTCATCCTAAAACTTTATCTTGCTCTTGTGAGACCACACCTGGATTACGCAGTTCAGTTCTGGTCACCGTATTACAGAATGGATATAGAATCCTTGGAAAGAATTCAGAGGAGAATGACAAGACTAATCCCGGGCATTAGGAACCTTGAGTATAGAGACAGGTTAAAGCATCTTAATTTGCACTCCCTCGAGAGACGTAGAGCGAGGGGCGACCTGATAGAGGTGTATAAGTGGAAGGCAGGGCTAAACAAAGGGGACATTACAAAGGTACTCAAACTATCCAACCAGGAGCGAACTCGTAACAATGGTTTTAAATTAGACAAATTTAGATTTAGGCGTGAAATAGGTAAACACTGGTTTGGAAACAGAGTAGTGGATGAATGGAACAAGTTACCAAATATCATCATTAACTCGAATACTGTACGCTGAATTGCTTCAAACATAGGTTGGATGCTCATATGAGCAATAGGGGTTGGGTGTAAACGGGACTGTCCAGTATGGGCCAATAGGCCCGCTGCAGTTTCCTCCATTCTTATGTTCTTATGTCTTACCCTCTGACCTGACTACCGACCGCTGCGGTGCTTTTTTGAAGATTAGTAGGGTCATTACCTAATACCTGACCATTGTGGACTTGAGCTCACCCTAATTTGTTTATATACTGTATACCTTGTTATGTACTTCTCCTTAGTCTGTACTCACCCCTGAAGATGTGAATTACACGAAAGCACTTGGAAACTTCGTGTTTTCTTTTTTCCTTGTAGCTGCGTAAACGCGCAATTCTGGCACCAAAGAATGAAATAGTGGCTGAAATCAACATGACTCTACTCAGACAGCTTCCAGGCAGTGAGACCTCATTCAAATCTGTTGATAAAGTAATCGACCAGGACCAAGCTGTCCAGTACCCTGCAGAATTCATTAATTCTTTGGAGCCCGCTGGAATGCCTTCTCACCACCTCACTCTCAAGATTGGAACTCCTATAATGCTCTTAAGAAATTTTGAACTACCAATCCTCTGCAATGGCACAAGACTGGTGGTGAAGAACATGATGTACCGGAAGCTACAATACTGACATGAAAACCTAAAGGAGAGGACGTTTTTATACCAAGGATACCTCTAATCACCACTGACCTGCAATTTGAGTTCAGGCGACTTCAGTTCTCGGTTAAAGTGAGCTTTGCCATGACCATCTACAAAAGCCAGAGAAAGTCCCTAAAGGTGGTTGGCCTAAATCTGGTGTTTCCTTGCTTCTCTCATGGACAGTTCTATGTTGGATGCTCCAAAGTGGGAACTGGCAAAAATCTGTACATACTTGCTGCTAATGGCAAAACGAAAAATGTGGACTACCTTAATGCACTACAGTGAGACAATGTGGAGCATCCCGGAGGTGTCGTCCGACCCTTGGCCTAGTGAAAGCGACTCCTCTAGTATATGTGGGCATTCATTGATGGCTGGCAACGACTACCTGTACAGAAGAGACGGACTACACTTCTCTCGTGAGGGGGTAAAGACGTTGTCTGCATCCCTGGAGCGTGAAATTGTCACTCCGAAGGGGGGGTTTCGCCAGTAGAGAGGGGTCGGGGAAAGTTGCAGGTCAGGACAAGGGGTAAAACAGGACCAGGGAAGAGTAGGTTTAAATGTATACTATACAAACAGTAGGAGCGTTAGAAATAAAATAGACTTGCTGAGAGCGGTTGTATGTACCGAGAATGTAGACGTCATAGCAATCACCGAAACTTGGATGAATCTGGCGAGCAAAATTTTTTATCAGAGTACCACATAGAAGGGTACAACCTTTTTCACAAGGACAGGGAAGGTAGGAAGGGGGGAGGGGTCGCACTCTTCGTCAAGGATACATTAAAATGTTGTACTAATAATTCAATAAAGGGTGAAATAGGAACCGAGTCTGTGTGGGTAGAAATCACGGAAGGAAGAGAAAAACTAATTATGGGAGTGATTTACAGGCCCCCAAGTCTTGGCAAAGAAGCAGCTCAGCCCATATGGCAGGAAATGAGTAGGGCAGCAAAATATAACAACCTATGCATTATGGGGGATTTCAACTTCAGAAATATTGACTGGGACAACATTGTAGGCGACTATGAATCTGAAGACTTCCTAGACGCAGTACAGGACAAATTTTTGAAACAACTAATTACAGAACCTACTAGAGGTGACAATATATTAGACCTAGTATTAACAAATAAAGAAAATATTATCAGAGATATCACAGTAGGGGAAGAACTAGGTAACAGTGATCACAGAGAAATCAGGTTCACCCTAAATTGGGAAACGAAAAACAATGACAATATGGTCAGCGTCCCAAACTTTCGGTTGGCGGATTATCAGGGGTTAAGAAGGTACCTAGGTGAGGTCACCTGGGATCAGTCACGTCAGTCCCCAGTAGGAAGGGGTGAGGTCATAGATGACACAACAATTGATCATGACTATACTATATTCTCTAGTATTCTACATAAAGCACAAGAACAAAATATACCATACAGAAAAATTCGGTCAAATACGAATGAGCCAAGGTGGATGACCAGAAAACTAAAACATGACATAGGAATAGAGAAAGGAAGATATAAGAAATTAAAGGGAGGGGAGGAGCAGCTCAGAAATAGGTATAATGAACTATCTAGGAATGTTAAGAAAAATGTAAGGAAAGCAAAGAGAGACTAGAGACTATGAAATCAAAATAGCAAGAGAATCCAAGGCAAATCCCAAGGGATTTTTCCAGGTATATAGGACAAAGGTCAAGGACAAAGTAGGGCCTTTAAAGTCAGGGAAGGGAGAAGTGATAAATGGCAGTGAAGAAATAAGCAAAGCATTGAACAGCTACTTCTTATCAGTTTTCACAGAAGAAATTTGCCATGAAATTCCAGAGGTTTAATTGATATTTAAGGGAAAGGAAGAAGAGAAATTAAAGAATATCACTATCAGAAAAGAGGATGTTCTTAAGAAGATAAATAAACTAAAGAAAACAAAATCCGCAGGGCCGGATGAAATTTTCCCTCGAGTCTTGAAAGAGTGTAAGGAACAGATTAGCGGACCCTTCGTAAACTTATTTACAAAATCATTAGACACTGGAGTTGTGCCAGACTTGTGAAAACAGGCAAATGTAGTACCCATCAACGTCAAATTACCGGCCGATCAGTTTGACGTCAGTAGTGAGGAAATTTCTTGAATCAATTATAGCAGATAGCATCCGATCGCAGCAAGAGAAAAGCAAATTAATCTACGACTCTCAACATGGGTTTACAAAGGGAAAATCTTGTTTAACAAATCTGCTAACGTTTTTTAGGAAAGTCTTCGAGGCAGTAGATAATGACGAAAATTACGATGTTATTTACTTAGACTTTAGCAAAGCATTTGACAAAGTTCTGCATCAGAGGCTTCTGAGAAAAATTAATGCTCATGGTATCGAGGGGAAAGTTTTAAATTGGATAAAATCATGGCACACCGATAGAACGCAGAGGGTTCAGCGAAGATGGTGTTAAATCTGAGTGGGGCCGTGTAACCAGTGGGGCTCCCCAGGGGTCAGTACCTGGCCCACTCTTGTTCATAATCTACATAAACGATCTAGATACTGGAATCAGCAGTGACATAAGCAAGTTTGCGGATGACACCAAAATGGGGCGGCAAATTAATTCAGGGTAGGATGCAAACGCATTACAGGAGGATCTAAATAAACTGCAGGGGTGGTCTGGTAAATGGCTAATGAAATTAAACACCAGCAAGTGCAGCGTACTTAATATTGGAAGAACAAATACTTATAATGTATACAGCCTGAACAACATCAACCTAGAGAAGTCGACTTGTGAAAGACACCTAGGGGTACTTGTAAGCCCGGACCTATGGCCTAAAACACAGTGCGTTAATGTTCGAAATAAGGCAAACAGAGTGTAAGTAACAAGAGTGCAGAGGTTTTATTGCAACTATATCTTGCGCTAGTTAGGCCGCACCTCGATTATGCGGTTCAGTTCTGGTGCCCCTATTATAGAATGGATATAAAATCACTAGAGCCGGTGCAGCGAAGAATGACAAAAATGATTCCGGGAATTAGACAAATTCCATATCAGGATAGGTTAACGAAACTTAACTTGCATTCCCTAGAAAGACGAAGAGCGCGGGGAGATATGATAGAAGTATTTAAGTGGGTGAAAGGAATCAATAAAGGGGATATAGATAAAGTTCTTATAATATCCGACCAGGATAGGACTCGGAGCAACGGATTCAAGTTGGATAAGTTTAGGTTTCGGAGGGAGATTTAAAGAAACTGGTTCACAAATAGGGTGGTGGACGAGTGGAACAAGCTTAGCAACTTTGTAGTAAGTGCGGGAACTCTGGAAAGTTTCATAAGGAGCCTAGATAGATTCATGGATGATAGAGAGTGGTAGTAACTCTCGACAGGAGCTGCCATGCACAGGCCAACCGGCCTATTGCAGACTCCTTATTTTCTTATGTTCTTATGTTCTTATATATCCGCTAGGCCACGGTAGGTCGCCACCCTCCGGAAAGCTCCACATTGTCTCACTGTTCAGTCCCAAGACTTCTTCTTCCATCAATATTTCATTAACGGTGTAAGTAAGTTCAACCATGTTTTTCACTACAACGGTACAGCAAAGTATATTTCTTAGCATTAAACTGTTATTATTTTATTGTCTAATCATCACTACATATAACATCATCCATCATCCCTACATTTAATACCATCCATCATCACTACATATAACACCATCCATCATCACTACATATAACACCAACCATCATCACTACATGTAACATCATCCATCATCACTACATATAACACCATCCATCATCACGACATATAACAACAGACATCATCACTATATATAAAACCATCCATGATCAGTACATATAACTCGACCCATCATCACTACATATAACACCACCCATCATCACTACATATAACAACATCCATCATCACTACATATAACACCACCCATCATCACTACATATAACAACATCCATCATCACTACATATAACACCATGCATCATCACTGCATATAACACCATCCATCATCACTACATATAGCACCACCATCACCACCATCACTACTACCACCATCATCACTACCACCACTACTACCACCACCATCATTAACACTACTATCAGCCAGTCTCTACCACCACCACTATCACCACGAACATGCCGCTATCACCATCACCACCACTACCACTATCACTACCACCGTCACCACCACCACTACATATAACACCATCCATCATCACTACATATAACACCATCCATCATCACTACATATATCACCACCCATCATCACTACATATAACAACATTCATCACTACATATAATATCATCCATCATCACTACATATAACACCATCCATCATCACTTCATATAACACCATCCATCATCACTACATATATCACCACCCATCATCACTACATATAACAACATTCATCACTACATATAATATCATCCATCATCACTACATATAATATCATCCATCATCACTACATATAACACCATCCATCATCACTTCATATAACACCATCCATCATCACTACATATAACATCATGCATCATCACTACATATAACACCATCCATCATCACTTCATATAACACCATCCATCATCACTACAGATCGGTAAAGTAGTTTCCGAGATTCTCTTGCGGACACACACACAAACACACAAACAAACACACAAACATGCTTCTTTGTTTTATATATAGAGATATACTCGAGAACTTTGTGTCCCAGATTTTGCCTAATCAGCCCCAAATAAAGTTAGGTAGCCGCACCTGAAACACCAAGATGTGCCAGCGCGGGAGGGCTGAGCCAAGGATAATGGGGTTAAAGATATCCGGATGGTATACAGATCGCACGGCACTTTTAAATGCTACTGGATGAATAATCGGGCTAGGTGTAGGACAAACAATTGCTTGAAGTTAGTTGTATCCCATACAGAAAAGTACATATGATATAGGGTGGTAAAAGGATAAATTTTAGGCTTTGTACCACAAGGCGTTGAATATTGGTCCTAAAAAGTAATCGTGAAAGGAAAATAAAATGGGCCAATTGCTGTCTTTGTCTCGAGGAAATTCCAGAGGTGGAACTGATATTTAGGGGAAACGAAGAAGAGAAATTAAAGAATATTACTATCAGAAAAGAAGATGTTCTTAAGAAGATAAAATAAATTAAAGAAGACAAAATCCCCAGGGCCGGATGAAATTTTCCCTCGAGTTTTGAAAGAGTGTAAGGAACAGATTGGCGGACCCTCGTAAATTTATTTACAAAATCATTCGACACGGAAGTCTTGCCAGACTTGTGGAAACAGGCAAATGTAGTACTCATACACAAAAGGGGAGACACAGCATCGGCGTCGAATTACCGTCAGTAGTGGGGAAATTTCTTGAATCAATTATTATAGCAAATAGCATCCGATCGCAATTAAAGGAAAACAAATTAATCTACGACTCTCAACATGGGTTTACAAAGGGAAAATCTTGTCTAACATATCTGCTGACGCTTTTTAGGGAAGTCTTCGAGGTAGTAGATAATGACCAAAATCACGATGTTATTTACTTAGACTTTAGCAAAGCGTTTGACAGTGTACCGCATAGGCGGCTTCTGAGAAAAGTTAAGGCTCATGGTATCGAGTTAAAAGTTTTAAATTGGATAAAATCATGGCTCTTCGATAGAACACAGAGGGTCGGCGTAGATGGTGTTAAATCTGAGTTGGGCCGTGTAACCAGTGGGGTTCCCCAGGGGTCAGTAGTGGGCCCAATCTTGTTCATAATCTACATAAACGATCTAGATACTGGGGTCCGCAGTGACATAAGCAAGTTTGCGGATGACACCAAAATAGGGCGGCAGATTAATTCATGGCAGGATGCAAATGCACTACAGGAGGATTTAAATAAACTGCAGGAATGCTTAAAAAAATGGCAAATGAAATTCAACACCAGCAAGTGCAGCGTACTTAATATTGGAAGAACAAATACTGTCAATGTATACAGGTTTAACAATATCAACCTAAAGAAGTCTACTTGTGAAAGAGACTTAGGGGTACTTGTAAGCCCGGACATACGGCCTAGAAAACAGTGCGTTAATGTTCGTAATACGGCGAACAGAGTATAAGGTTTTATATCTAGAAGTGTAAGTAATAAGAGTGCACAGGTCTTATTGTAACTATATCTTGCGCTAGTCAGGCCGAACCTCGATAATGCTGTTCAGTTCTGGTGCCCTTATTATAGAATGGATATCAATTCACTGGAGTCGGTGCAGCGAAAAATGACGAAAATGATTCCGGGACTTAAAAACCTTCCATATCAAGATAGATTAAAGAAACTAAACTTGCATTTCCTAGAAAGACGAAGAGTGCGGGTGATATGATAGAAGTATTTAAGTGGATTAAAGGAATCAATAAAGGAGATATAGATAAACTTCTTATAATATCAGAGCAGGATAGGACTCGTAGCAACAGATTTAAGTTGGATAAGTTTAGGTTTAGGATGGAGATAGGAAGAACTGGTTCACAAATAGAGTGGTGGATGAGTGGAATAAGCTTAGCAACTTTGTAGTAAGTGCTTGAACGCTGGAAATTTTTAGAAGGAGGCTAGATAGATTCATGGATGATAGAGAGTGGTAGTAACTCTCGACAGGAGCTGCCATGCACAGGCCAACCGGCCTATTGCTGACTCCTAATTTTCTTATGTTCTTATATTCTTATGATAAGAAGGAAGAACTTAAATCTCCAAAGACTAACCCTACTAGAAGTGAGGAAGATGGCTACAGCAAATTAGGCAATAGATGCCCTTCCAATAAGGTTTGACAGATTGCCTAATAATAAATCATTATATGTAAAAAAAAATAAAATACATCGGTTAGGCAAATTTGGCTGACAACTTGGAAATTTTAATGTCCAATCGGATAGATTTGATAAGTAACCCATATTGAATGTTCATCCCAAATTTCATGTATGTATGAGTGTGAGAGAGAGAGAGAGAGAGAGAGAGAGAGAGAGAGAGAGAGAGAGAGAGAGAGAGAGAGAGAGACCTTTCACTTATGACTGGGACCAGAGGACTGTCTTTCTGACCAACCATGGCGGACATGAAAGGCATAACCCTCTCTTTGGATGAGTAAAAATCGCAACGTCCTGTAAAGAGGAAAAGTAACTGTTTAATCTATATAATCTTGCACGCATTAGCCTTGGCAGATTAGAATAAGAGTCATGAGGAAACAGAACCTAATATCTGGTTCTCGAATAAAATATGTTATCTATATGTTTGTTATCTTCATTCAGTCACTGTATTTCTTGTACCAGAAAAATATATTTGTGTCATTAAAGGAGAAAATTGATTGATAAAAGTAAAGCTTGATTGAGTTTAAAAATATTAAACAGGCGATTATCTCTCTTGGTCAGGCAGGGTCTGGTTGGAGGTTGTCTGTGTACCAAGGGACTGGTATATTGTACCTGTGCTTGTGAATTCTTGAGCCTTGAGGACCCTTTGATAGCGGTCCTCAGATATAATTACGTGATCACCTCGGCTCACAAGTGTGTTCATGTAAGTGGAAAACTCAGCTCCACGCACATACATGATGCGGCCTTCTCTCTCCGAGTCAGCAACCTCCCGGAATATGCCCGACTCCATAGCCTTGAAAATAGAGTAACTTATAATTATCACTAAACAATTAAGTGAAAAAATATCGAAATATTTTCTCGTTTTCACATAAAATCACACCTCGGATTTCTCCAAAGAAACCGTTATCAACGCCTCAGATGAAACAGAAAAAAATTAACATGTATAAATTAATTTTCATTGATTTAGAGCAATAAAAACAAAAAGTTATCCCTATTCAACAAAAACTCACATGCTTTTCATGACTCAAGCATATATAGAAAAGAGTAATCCACTATTCGGAACTCAAACACTTTACCTCTATTTTATTTCCCACAAAGGCTGTTCATTCGTCTTATTCTTAAGCAACGTGAACCTCGATCGGGGATTGCCCGTGCCAACTATGTGGTCGTAGTAGCATTTAATCAACTCCAGCTTGGAAACACGAGGGTTCATAATTATATATCACAACAGTCCATATACACGCGAACTTCCATATACAAACATACCTTATGGCGTGGTATATGCTGATAACCACATAGGAAAGAAGAAACACGAAGTTCCCAAGCTATTTCGTGTAATTCATATCTTCAGGGATGAATACAGACCAAGAATGGGTTGGGTTGGTGATATGAAGAGAAGAGAGACTTAGCTCTGAGGGTGCAAGAGGGGTACAGTACAAGGTAAAGTTCAGAAGTGGGAAATATAGAAGGAGGTAGACAGCAGGTGAGCTATCCAACTTGCGGAGACGAGGTTTTGTCTTCCGTCAACAGTGCTGCATTATAGGACTCCTGCGGCTAGGGAAGGCCGGTCTCAGCTAAGCTAATCTAAGTTGTTCTATTTGATGTTTGCTTGGGGCATATTATGTTGGGGGGGGGGGCCCTCCAGGTCCTTATGGCACTGGAGGGAGGATCCCCAGCATTTGGTTCTTTTTTAATGTGTATATAGAAGCTCTGGTTCTTCGTTATCAGTTTTTATGCTTCTAGGCCACCATCTGTGCGATGTGTTGTTGTTTTCCTCATGTAGTTGGTTTAGTATGGGATCATGTTCTTGGTGATTGATTTTCCCATTTTACATTTGCTTGGGTGTGTATTCTGGTGTTGAGTGGGTCTATGCCGTGTTCTGTGTGTATGTCTTGTGCTGTTTGTGTGTATGGTGATCTGTGGTTTGCCGCTCTTCTGAGGGCTATATTTTGCTCTGCTTGAAATTTAAGTTTGTTTGTTCTTGTGATTGTGTTCAGAGGTATCGGAAGGTATTCTAAGTGTGGTCTGATCAGTGCTTTGTATAGGTGCAATTGTTTATTGGTGTTTAATTGGCGGAATCTTCTGAGCTTTGTATGTTGTGATTTTGCAATTGCCATTCCTTCATTGATGTGGGGGATTATTCCGTTTCTGGATATCTTGAGTCCTAATATGTTTCCGTTGGCAGCATATGGTATTTGTTGGTTATTGACAATAATAGGGTAGGGATTTGATTTTGCGATGTGGATTATTTTGTGTTTTTGGACATTGGTTTTTATCGTCCATTTTCTTTCATAGTTATTTATTATCTCTATTTCTCTGCTTGTTCTGGCCATCATTTGTTTGGATTTTCCTGAGTACCTGACTATCTGTGTGACATCATCTGCGTATGCTATACATTCTGATTGCCGTGGTTGCGGCATGTCTGCTGTGTATAAAGTGTATACTGTCGGCGATATATTACTGCCTTTGGGAACTCCACTATGAAGGTTAAAAGTTTGTCCTAGATGGTTGTCGATGATTAATTTGGCCTTTCTGTTGTCTAAAAAAAATGCATATTTGTGTGGTGATATTGGAAGGCATGTCCAGTTTGATTATTTTCAACTTCAGTCCTTCATGCCAGACTTTATCAAATGCTTTTGATACATCTCTTTGAATTATATTGCATTGGTCTCTGTTGCTTACAGCATTTGCAATTGATTCGTATATTAGTGCTATTGCTGTGTTGGTTCCTCGATTTTTCCGAAAGCCTCTCTGTCTCGGGTCATATTTGTTTTCTTGGTCTAGATAATTTCTGAGTCTGTGGTTGACTATTTTTTCCAATATTTTACCGGGTGTTTCCAGTAGTGAGATAGGTCTGTAGTTCTCTGCTTGAGTCTGATTTTGGCTATTTTTATTTTGGTAGGGAAGAAGCAAGTGAGGCATTATATATATTTTTAAGCTATTCGATCATTGACTCAGGTCTGTTTTGTAGTACGGTTTTATTAATTTGGCTATTATATTTTTCAATATCATTTTGGGTTAATGGAGCAATTATTGGGTTATTATTATTTTATGAATTAAGGTTGATTTTTCTAGTAGGTTTCCATTTCTCTGTGTTCTGGCTCAAATATGTTCTAGTTGCCTGTTCTGTTTCTTGGCAGAAGCTTCTATTGTCTTCGTCATTCTGATATGTCTTTCCAGTATTCTCTAAATATTGGTTCTTTATCGTGTGGTTCTGTTGCCTTTCTTCCGTTTTTGTCCTTTATGTCGCTAATTTCTTCCGAGTTAGTTCCCATTAGGTTATTTATTTTTTTCCAGAATGCTTTTGGGTTTCTGTAGTCTGCTTGTGTGTCATTGATCAGTTTGTTCCATGTTTCATTGTGTTTGTTCTTGCTTATGTCTATCAGTTCTTCTTTTAGATTCCTGTATAATATTCTGTTGTCATTGCTCCACCCGTGTGTTTTTGTGTATTCATATAGATTGGTGAATCTAGTTTGGATCATTTTCTCTTCATATGTTAATTGTGCATGTGGTAATGTACGGTATGTTGTTTTTGGGATGTTGTTTTTCATTGCTGTTATTACTTCATTGTACCATGTATCCAGTGTTTTGTCAATCTCTGTTGTGTCTTTGTTGTGTAGTAGTGATGGTTCGTTGTTGCTAAGACCCGATCAAAATTTTTCCCAATTTGCTCTACTGAGTGAAAATCTTGGGATTGATGGAATTTGTATCGGGGATGTGGATAGAGTTGCTATTATGGGTAGATGATCACTGGTTGTTGTGGGTCCAGCTTTTAGATGTACGTTTAGATGGTGATGCCTATTGGTTAAAACAATGTCTGGTTTTCTCGAGCTACCGGCTGATACGTAAGTTTTGAAGTCGGGCCCGAGGTGTGTTATTGTCCCGTGTTCGATTAGATCATGCAGGATTTTTCCTCCTGGGTTTCTGTTATTGTGTCTTAAGGTTGTGTGTTTAGCGTTGAGGTCTCCTATGAAGTATGCTGGATTGTTTTGCCTCATTAGTTTTAAGATGTCCCCTGTAAGGAATATTGGGCTTTTGAATGTTAGATATAAAGTTCCAATAGTTATTGGGCCTCTTGTTGTATTTATTTCGGCTGCAAGAAAGTTACTTTGGAAGTTGTCTATGATTTTGTATTGTATGTTGCGTTTTATAGCTATTGCTATTCCGTCATGTGGTTCGTCGTGTATGTTCATTTGATGTACATGGTAGTTAGAGATCTTTATTTTGTCACTGTTTTTCCGACCATGTGAGTTGATTAGTATTATGTCCGGGTCCAATGTGTTGAATGCATTTGTTAGCTCTGTTTTCCGTATCTGTGTCCAGGCAAGGGCATTATGTTGTAAATTCTTTATGTTTCGGTTCTGCGAACTGGTGGATCCCGTGAACTCAGTGCAAATTGCTTGCCCGCTCTTGTCTCTCCTGTCGCATATCTCTGCCGTACCTCTCTTAGGCTTGTTCTTATTTTCCTATATATTGAAGTGTCGACTTTTTCAATGGTGTTGTATTTGGTGTTGATTCCCCCGCCTCTGATTAGGGTTTCAATGTGTGACTCCTCCACTCTATTGTCCCTAAATTTGTATTTTAAGTTGCCTTCTTGTATTTCTTGTATAAGTTTTTCGTTAGGGATTATCGGTTGTGAGTTGACGGAGAAAAATCGAATGCCGATATTATCGCTGTAGTCAGGAGTCTTCTGAGATTTAGTTTCAGTTCCTCTCTTGTCCGTTGTTATCTGGTGCGGCTGCTCCTGAGTTTTTTCTATTCCCAGGCTGCTTTCTGTCATAATTTTAAATATCTCTGTCGATGGAACATCGTCTGTGAAGTTCACATGGGGTACATTGTTTGCAGCGAACATCTCTTTTATGGTTTTCCCGAATGTTCCTGGTTTGGCAACGTTGTTGATGTGTGCGTGTATTATTGCTGTTAGAATTGTGAATGGGAGGCCTTCATTAAGTTTAAGGTAGGTGGCTTGAGTAGGTTGCACTTCTTTTAATTTTTCCAGGTCCTTTTTTGTTGTGTCCTGAAGTTTTGCAATGGCTGCATAGGTCTTGTTTGGATTTAGTTCCATTTTCTTTTTGGCCTTTTCTTTTTCTTTTGGGTCTTTTATTACTTTTTTTTCTTGTGGGGCACCGGGCTGCCAGTGTCTGGTGATCCCCTTTGCAGTTTAGGCATTTTGGCTTATCCTTGTCTGTGCAGTCTCTGAATGTGTGGCCCTCCGCAGCACATTCAGAGCAGTACTTCTTGTCCTTTTCAGGGCAGCTGGCTGAGGTGTGATTGTACTTATAACATGTCCAGCATGGTGTTATTGGGTAGAATTCTTCCTTTTTATATTTGGTGTTTCGGTATATGGTAGTGTGATATGCCTATACCGCTTTCCATTGCCTTCTGAGCCATGGAGATCTCAATGAATCTGATCTTCATCATAATTGGTGCATTTGGCATCAACACTACCTCCTCCACTTTTTCCCAGGTGTTTTTCTCTTCTATTTCTTTTACGATGTCGCTTGGTGTCTTCTGCGTGATAAACTTGTCCACCCTCTTCATTACGATGGATTTCCTCTCTCTTACTTGGGGTGGTACAACTATTTCAAAGTTCTCCCTTTTCAGTTTTTTGACAGCATATGTGGCGAGCATAAGGTCGACATCTCTTTCTTCTAAGCAGAGAACTATGTATGAGTTTCTTGCTTCGATGAGAGCCTCGAATTTGAAGTTGCGGTGGGCACATAAGATAGTGCCTAGTTCCTCTTTGCGTTTTTCGGATACGCCCCCGCGGAGGGAGCGTACCCGAATCCTGTTACTCGTTGTCTTTGTCATGCTTGGGTCGTCTTTTTTTTCATCCGTCCAGTGGTGGGTAAGGCCACCGTTGCGTGGGACGAAGCTTGTGTCCTACCTAGCAAAGGAATTTCAATACCCCCTACCGCCGCTTGATGGTCGAGTGGTCGTAGGGTGGTTCCAATGTCTCTCTCCCAGAAGCCCAGTTAGGGGAACCTACTTTCCTAGTGTTTTTATTTGCTCACTTATAGGTGTGAGCTAGTGTACATATTCAAGGGGTTAAGCATTCAGGAATGCTACCCCCTTCCCAGGTGGACCCGCACGATCACGGCTACCCAGGAAGGCTCGGCGGAGGGATAGGTTCTGCTCCTGTCCACCTCCAGTGTTCACTATCTCCTGGGAGGGAGGTGAACAGCTACTGGGGGGACCCGAGGAAGAATACACCTCTGAGGGTTGTAGAGATAGACCCCAAACCACGTCAGGATTGCCACGCTATAGCTGCCCTCCAGCAGGAGTGTGAGTCACTCACACTGCCTGTAGGGAGGACTAGCCGGTGTTGACAATTCTGATCGCTCGTGGGGTAGTCCGGTGACGGTCGTTCGGTCGTTTGATGCCGCAGGGTGTCCAAGCTGCGCCGCCCTTCTCTGGGAGTACTCCCAGAACAGTCGGGGTGACAAAGTTCCCTCTAGTGAGTACGGTCAGCAAAGTTGGTCAACAATGGAAGCAGAGAGAGGGCAGGTCTTCACCGGTCCGGGTCCGGCAGTCGAAAGAGGAGTTGAGATGAGGAGACCAAGAATAATTATTGACAAGGCTAATATACTGTATATAGTAAATGAGAGTGAGATCAAGTCCCTATGGACAGCATATGTTCTTCCATAGTCAGATCATAAGTTTACAAATCTTGTTAATCACAAAATTGTCCAATTTGTACACAAGCCATTACTGAAATTCATGTTGACAGATTCGGTATGCTTAATGACACTAGATTCTTTAATGTTCTCACTGATGATTAAATTACAAGATAATACTGAGGAGGCATTATCCCAGTCAATGCAATGCTTATTATCTCTCATATGAATGAACAAAGCCTTGAATATCTGGCCTGTCCTAACACTATTTTTATGTTGCTTAAGTCGAGTTATAAGATCATTTCCCTGTCTGGTCTAAGTAAAACATATTACATTCCTTGCAAGGAACCTTGTAAATACAGCCACCTGCATTGCTGAAGTTCTTAATTAACATCTGTTTTACATTGCATAAGTTACTAAATGTTACAATTACGTTCCAGGTTTTCAGTTCTAAAAGAATTTGAGAGAAATTTTTGTTAAATGGTAATACTAAGAAATTTTTATTATCATGAAGATATTTAGGATCACTTCAATAAAAAGATTTCTTAACGCTGTTAAGGCATTTGTCTGTAAAATATCAAGGGTATTTTAAGTTCAAACCAATATTATAGATATATTTATATTCGTCATCAATGAATTCCGGACTGCATATTCTTAGAGCACGTAAAATTATCGATGAGAATACTGACTGTTTGACTCTATTATGATAGGCAGAGTGATAATAAATATTTGAACACACATTAGTAGGTTTCCTAAAACTACTGAACTTAAAGGTGTTACCTATTCTGTTGATCAGACAGTCTAGGAATGGTAATTTACAGTCACTTTCTAATTACACAGTGAATTTAATCGAGGGGGCTAAGTTGTTGAGTAGTGGTAGAAAGGCTTTTAAGTTCTCATTATATTGCCAAAGACATATTACATCATCTACATATCAAAACCAAACTGCTGAAGGTGGTAAAATATTACTTAGTTGTTTCTTCTGAAAATATTCCATATATAAGTTTCTCAACACTGGCAAAAGCGGATTGCCCCTGAAGATGTAAATTACACGAAAACGCTTGGGAACTTCGTGTTTTCTTATTTCCTATGTGGTTATCAGCATATATATATATATATATATATATATATATATATATATATATATATATATATATATATATATATATATATATATATATATATATATATATATATATATATATATATATATATATATATATATATATATATCACGGTAAATAGATATAATTGCCGATTTGGCCTTAAAAAGAAACTTAGGTTTTTTTCCAAATAGGGATAATTTTTTGTTTTTTCTCGCTCTAAAGTCTAAACCATTGGAATTGAATATGTAGTAGTACATGTTAAATTTTGATATGTTTCATATAAGGAGAAGTTTACTCTCATAAAATATAATAAAATATACCTAAAGTGGGTTAGGTTAGGTTAGGTTAGGTTAGGTTAGGTAAGGTTAAGTTTTGTATGAAACTTTTCATATACAGTACATATATTTTTATGATCTGCATTATCATTCATGGGCAGTCAGAGGTTTCAAAAAGATAAACACATGGAATTATCGGTATTCAGCAATTGATCAATTTATGATGGTAGCCAGGTTTTGATATTTCCATAAAAAAATAGGTTTTTCCTATGGTTCTTGTTGCGATTTGAACGACTATGACCTCTGACCTTCATTTCTGGTGCTAACCTAACCTAACCTAACGCAAACCCGGCTACTATCCTAAATTCACCCGGCAATTATCCCTATTTAGCGGACTTCAATATGCAAACCATACTTTGTTAGTCAGGAATATTGAAGTCCGTGTCTACGCCTATATATGAACTGTTGAAATTTATTTATAGTTTCGCGCTTTTTAACTTTTTAGCAAGGGCTATCCCAATCCCCAGTGGAGGATCCCGCTGCTTGAGAATAAGACGAAGAGGCAGGATTTGTGTGATATTAAAAAAAAAAAAAAACCTGATAGTTAGTTTGGTTGTCCTTGTGGTGGGTGCCTTGGTAGTGCTCGATGTTCCCTTTAGAATTCTTAGGATTGTTTCAAATAGAGGTATATATATATATATATATATATATATATATATATATATATATATATATATATATATATATATATATATATATATATATATATATATATTATATACTGTATGTGTGTACACACTTGCGTTACAAAACGAGAAGAGACAAACATTTACCTCAAAATACTGTACGTAAGAGGTGTCAATCTCCCATATCATGGTGACAGAGGGGTCGTCAAGCACGTCCCGGAGAGACTGGTAAGGTTGAGGGATGTATCTCACAGCTAAGTTGGACATGAGGTTGCCGGCGTAGCTCTTGGTCAACACCAACATGGCTATCATCCACACGGCTAACACTGTCCTCTCCCACCACGGGTCAGGAGACACAGCACCAGCTGTCCACGTACGAAGTTCTCGATTTATTTCTTACTAGAATTGCCACAGTCTATATCAAAAGTTTCTATCTTGGTTAATGTTTTGTGGTAAAGGCGGAACACAATAATTATTTTTTTTCGCACACTTTCATGTTGAACTTCAGATTTTTTTTTATCTAAACAAAAACCGCCCATGATATTTGGTTAACGTCCCGGAAATAATTAGGTCAACCTTTGTTATTAATTAGTTTAATGAGTTTAATGGGTTTAATGAGACTAAAACTTAAAAAAAAAAGAAAAACTATGGATAAAATCAAATGGGATTTAGGTAAACTTAAGACGGGGGCAGGGATAAAATATGAGATTGAAGCCGAAAATAGATTTTCGGTATTTTTATAGGATGACTTTGATAAACAAGGACTAGAACAGCAATTTAATAATTACAAAGAAGTAATGCTAGAATCTGGGGAAAAACTTATGGCACATAAGTGAAAAGAGGCTACGGGTAAGTGGATGACAAATACAATATTTAGGAAAATATATAGAAGATATATGAGAAAATGAAGTAAGGCTTATATAAAATTTACCAAAGAAATGCAAAGAGAATGCAGACTGGCCAAGAAAGGTAATCTAAAAATTAAATGAAAGGAGATTGAAGGTGATGACAGAAGGCATAATTACTGGGAATGTACAGACAAATTAACTAAATTAACTATAAAAAAAGGGCTGGTACAATTAAAAGCACAAACAATAAAATTATGTTTAGGGCAGAAGAAGTAAAAATAAGTTATGCAGAGTACATAGAAGAACTATACAATGATAAGGATAGACTAGAGGTAAGAAACGAAAAGGAAATAAAGGTCGAAATGACAATTCTTGAAACAAAAGTTGGGGCAGCTGTGAGCAAAATGAAAAATTATAAAGCTTGTGGGGTTGATCAGCTTCCAGCAGAATTAATAAAACAAATGGACAAGAATGGGCTTCTTTTTTTTTTTTTTAGTAAAACATGTAATTTTATTAATCAAAGGAGAGCTTCCCAGTAATTTAAAAAACAATAATTGTATTTTTACCTAAAAGGCCAGGCGCCTCAGAGTGCACCCTGTTTAGAACAATAAGCTTAAAAAGTTATGCCTGCAAAGTTGCCTTAAACAAAATTTTAAGTAGAATAAAGTTTAGAATAGAAAGTGAATTACCTGAGGAGCAAAAAGAATTTGGAAAAAGTGAAAAGGAATTAGAGAAGCTGTATTTGGTTTGGAAATTTTTGAGTGAAAGGGCCTTAGATGCCCAAAGAACTTTGTATATCTTCTTTGTTGATTTTGCAAAAAGGTTTTGATAAGTTAGAGCACAATAGACTTATAGAGATATTGGAAAAAATAGACATTAATGAAGGATATTTAGAATTTTGAAGACTGGCAACAGGAGGCTGTAACGAACTTGCTAATTGGTTCACAGTTAGACAGTGACTAAGACAAGGCTGTGTTCTATCTCCAACATTGTATAATATGTATTCAGAATTTGTTAATGAGAGAAGTAATAAGTGATAATAAAGTTAATAGTAAAGTAATATCAAATACACGCTATACAGATAATACTGCTCTTATCACAGAAAGAGAAGAGGCATTACAAAAACTCGCTATCAGATGAGTGGAAATTGGTGAAAAATATGGCCTAAGAGTAAATACTGTAAAGATTAAAGTAAAGGTTTTTTTAAAATTGAAAATAAATACTAAAATTATAAACTATGGTAGGGAACAGGGAACTTAATAAGTGGAAAATTGTGAGTATATTTGAGAAGTAACGTTAGCGCTTATGGTAGATGTACTGAAAAATCAAAACAAGAATAGGGCAAGGAAAAACACATACAATAATCTAAAAGACCTAATGAAAATAGACATTAACTTCTATTTGAGAAAAAGATAGCTGGAAAGCTATATATCGCAGGGACTATTGTATGGGTCAGGTGCGTGGACACTTTCAGCAGACATCAGAAAGAAAGAGGTTGGAGGCCTTTGAAATGTGGTGTTATAGGCGAATGATAAGAATAGGCGACACTGAAATAAAAACAAATGAAGAAGTATTAAGATTAACAAGAACTTCAAGGGAAATACCTGAAATGTATAGAAAGAGAAAAATTATATGATTAGGGATGAAATATTAATGGGCAAAGTTGAGAGTCGGAGGGTCAGAATAAGGCAGACACTGGGAATGATGAAGGAAATTAAAAATTGGGTCTCCAGAGAGAGATACAAAACCGTGGAGGACTGCGGTCGTCAACCCTATGATTTGAGGACTATATTTATGCTGTAAAGGGGATGGGTAACTACTTAATGACGCAAATATGGTGGACACCTGCTGTCCCCAAGAAATTGATCTCATTTTCCTTTACTGTATATACTGACTGGCATTGTTATTAAGTACTCCTACAGATTTGAATGACACGAAAGCGCATGGGAACTTGGTGTTTCCTTTTTTCCTATGTGGTTATCAGTACATATATGGATCACGCTCACCTACAGTGATTTATTTGCATGGGCTGCCTCTCTTCATTGCTGAATATTTCTCCTAATAAAGTGCTTGGGTTCATACAAAGCAGTGTTAGTTACAAGACTAGCGAGGTCATCTTAAAACTATATCTTGCACTTGTGAGACCTCACTTAGATTACTCAGTTCAATTCTGGTCACCGTATTATAGAATGGATATAGAATCCTTGGAAAGAATTCAGAGGAGAATGACAAGACTAATCCCGGGCATTAGGAACCATGAGTACAGAGACAGGTTAAAGCATCTTAATTTGCACTCCCTCGAGAGACGTAGAGCGAGGGGCGACCTGATAGAAGTGTATAAGTGGAAGACAGGGCTAAACAAAGGGGACATTACAAAGGTACTCAAACTATCCAACCGGGAGCGAACTCGTAACAATGGTTTTAAATTAGACAAATTTAGATTTAGGCGCGAAATAGGTAAACATTGGTTTGGAAATAGAGTAGTGGATGAATGGAACAAGTTACCATATATCATCATTAACTCGAATACGCTGGATAGCTTCAAACATAGGTTGGATGGATATATGAGCAATAGGGGTTGGGGGTAAATGGGACTGCCCAGTATGGGCCAATAGGCCCGCTGCAGTTTCCTCCATTCTTATGTTCTTATGTTCTTATGTTCTTCGAGGATCAAAGCCCATAATTTGGAATTACGAATGGAATTTCGTCAGGCGTGCCTTGGTGAACAAGTTATGCCAAGATCAATCTTCCCACAACGTGTTGTGCAGATGTCTGACCGCCATTTTTATGATTTCTAGGAAATCATTCTAAAGAAACACACTGAAATGAAGAAGACTGAAGTGGAGCTTTTCGAATTGTAGGACAGAAAAAACAAACTTTTTATAAGATTATACCGAGTGAATGGAAGAAGTTCATGCTGGATAACTGTTTTGACATGCTGAGATATGAGCGTTCTGACCTCCAAGCAAACTTAAACCACAGATTAGCACAGTTCATTAAAAATAGTGATTAGACTATAAGGATGCCAATTACAATTTTGTCGTGAATCTCTCCTCTAAACAACTAGACAATGATACCTTGTGTGCCCTCGGTTATGGTTTAAATTTTGATGGCTCTAACAAGGGAGTCGACAGTGTTGATATGGCGAGAGCTTTTTGAAATTTGGAGAAATTCAGTAATTTAACAAACGAAGCAGTGAACAAGCCTAATAACCCAGCAAGACGCATCATTACTGAACCCTCTAGTAGGGAACATAACACGTTCTAATATTAAGAATAATGTGGACTTAGATAATAAACTCAATAACTTACACATTAATTATGATTTTAAACTGGCTAATTTTTATGCTGTTTACAAATGTTCCAGTTGATGATTTGCTTGAGTTACTCGCCAATTCCCTAAAAAATATTTCCTTGCCTGTCTCATATTACATATGGACTTTTTTTTTAATTACTAAGTAATAATTTACCATCGCCTGCAGTTTCGCTTAAAGATATAGTTGATGGAATATGTCATTGGCCATGTAGAGAGAACTTAACAGTTTAGGCCCCATATTCAAATTCACATTGGAGCAAGAAAGTGAATATCAATTCCCATTTCTAGACTGTCTGATCCATAGAGTAGGTAACACCTTCAAGTTCAGTATTTATAGGAAACCTACTAATGTGTGTTCATATATTCATTATTGTCCTTCCCACCACGACAGAGTCAAGCAGTCAGTATTTTCATCAATGTTTTTACGTGCTCTACGAATATGCAGTCCGGAATTCATTGTTGAAAAATTTGAATATATCTATGATATTGAATTGAACTTGAAGTACCCTAGATCTTTATAGACAAATGCCTTTTAAGAACTGACCCTAAACCTCCTCGTGTTGAATCTCTTAGTATTACCATTTATCCAAAAAATCACTCAAATTCCTCTATAACTGAAAAACCTGAAACGTTTAGTAATTCTTGTACTGTAAAACAAATGTTAATTAAGAACTCTCCCAGCAATGCAGGCGACTGCAGTTACAAGGTTCCTTGCAAGGAATGTAATATGTTCTACTTAGGTCAGACGGGCAAAGATTTTACAACTAGACTTAGACAGGATAAATATAGTGTTAGGACAGGCCAGGAATCCAGACACTATATATCATACAAAATCAAGAGTAAACACAAATGCAAAAACCATGGGCACATTTCGATTAACAAGAATGAACTTTACTCTTCAGTTTATAAAACAGAAGTAAAATGTTGTGGAGGTTTATTACCTTGCTGTAAAAAAATTTGTATGTAAGAGACGAACATATTTAACGACGATGACGATATATCTTTATTAGTAGTTCTCAGACCAACCCACGAGGACAAGAGGAATACGACCAAAGGTACTAGTATCAGCGCCGTCAAAATTGATAACCACACCAGCGGCGTCATAGGCAGCAGGAAGCCCCACGGATCCACCTCTGGCAGACCTCGACCTCCCATGATCCTCGCTGTTTCTGTTAATATCTCCGTCGTGAAGTCCACCATCTCAGCTCGAGTGGCGCTAATATCGAAGGGACCTAGACCGAAATCCGCCTCCTGTGTATAACAACACTTAAATAAATTATTATATATTAGAGAATACTGATATAAATCATCCGAAAGAAACTTAAAATTTTTATGGATGTAAAGATTTATAGGGTTTATTCTTTATTCAGAAGGATGGAACATTAACTAACAATTATCAGAAATAAAAACATTGCATCATTTAGAAAGTTGAAGTTATAGTAAACAGAAGAGGTATACTGTGCAATCAATGCAATATCGATTTCTTTTAACTTTATTTTCATAAAATAAAAATAAAAATAATTGATTAAATTTTTATTTACTGCTGCTCAGTTGCATTACGTATTTTGTAAATATTTTAGTCCTAACGAATATATTTCGCTATTAATCTAGTCATTACGGATTAAGTGACCATACCTGTCTGCCCACCATACCAATCATGCCCGTCCAGGAACCATCCTCTTGCTTAACTCCCCACGACCCGTCAGGAGGACGTACATACCTGTATCTGGTGAGTGAGACAAGCATCAAGACCTATTTTAATACATCAATGACTCCATAGAAAGACATTATTTCATCGTGTCGAAAATGTGAGGTTATCTTACAAGTGTTAATGCGTATATACATATATATATATATATAAATATATATATATGTATATATATATATATATATATATATATATATATATATATATATATATATATATATATATATATATATATATATATATATATATATATATATATATATATATATATATAACTTCAGCAATGGACTTGTAAAGTGGAAAGTGTATGATATATATGGACACAAAGTAGTGCCTTCAGCTGTATATTGTTATATTACTCTTATTAATTATGTATAGTAAAGTATTACAGAACATGTATTAATTCTATGTAATATTCTATTTATTGTGCACCCAAAGAATGTTCTATACTACTGAGGGTATATACAAACACTTGTTGTCTTTAAAAGTAGGTTCTATTCTCGTACGGGAGATAATATTACAGTAGGAAGCCTGTGGGCACGCCACCAGGACTCGGTCTTAACTACCTCTACATCTATCTATGTATTACTACGCGCTGGCCTATAAAGATGCCAGCATTCACAAGCTGAATACATAAAGTATAAATGTGATAATTTATATACATAATATGGTGCACAATAAATAGAATATTACATAGAATTAATACATGTTCTGTAATACTTTACTATACATAATTAATAAGAGTAATATAACAATATACAGCTGAAGGCACTACTTTGTGTCCATATATATCATACACCTCCCTCCCCCCTATACGCTCATAGTTTCATCTTGAGCGGACCTTTGTTTCTGAGTCGCTCGGACCTGCGGAGTACTGGGGCAGAAACACAAGGTGGGGATGGATTTACTTTAGAGACATCAACATTAGGGGACTCAACTGGGGAGGGGTCAACACTAGGCAGCTCCACAGGTCGGAGGAAACGACGGTTCCTCCACCATACTCTACCACTAGGAAGACGCACTTGGTAGTCCCTGGACCGGCCAATACCCATAACAACCCCAACCTTGTCCCAGCGGTGAGATACCGGATCTTGAATCCTGATCTGCTGGCCGATACTCAACCTGGGAAGGGGGCGGGCATGACAGTCGTACCGAGCAGCGACATCTGCGGCTCGTTCTGCTGCACGGCGGTCACATTCTTCAGTCTTGGCCTGCCACTCTTGAGAAAAAGACTTCGGGTGGGCAGGAACACAAGACCTGAGATGATGTCCGTATAGAACCTGGGCTGGGGAGCGTCCGGTGAAGTTCGGGGTGTTGCGTAACTCCAACAAACCTCGATCGAAGTCCTCGCAGTCGATATTTCCTGAGGGTGACACCTTAAGGATCAGGTGTTTCACAGTCTTGACTGCGGCTTCAGCGTGTCCATTCGCCTGGGGGTAGTGGGGCGAGGTCACGACATGACGGACTCCCCAACGGTCCATGAAGTCCCGGAACTCGTGGCTGGTGAACTGGGGTCCTCCATCAGTCCTGAGGCGGAGGGGAACACCAACTTCTCTGAAGTAATGCCTGAAGCTCCGGATGGTAGCAGTAGCCGTTGTATCACTACCACAGGGGACGACAACAGGCCATCCAGACAGTCGGTCGGCAATGACGAGGAAGGACTTCCCTGCAACTGCAAAGAAATCGGCCGACACAGACTCGAAGGGTCTTGAAGGGTTATCGTCGCACATTAAAGGTTCCTGTTGCTGGCTAGGTTGCAGAATCTGGCACGGTTCACAGGCACGGACGGTACTTGCAATGTCCGCGTTGATTCCGGGCCAAAATACAGTCTGCTTCGCCCGTCGCTTGGTGGCCTCCACTCCTCGATGGCTGTCGTGAAGGCGGGCCAAGGTACGGCGGCGTAGGGCAGCAGGAATAACTACTCGTGGACCATACAAGACGAGGTCTCCATCACAATAGAGGTCCTCGCGTATTTTCCAGTACGGGAGTAGCGATTCATGAAGGTCGTATCGATTAGATGGAAATCCCTGAGACACACAGTCGACGAGCCGGATGTAGGAAGGGTCGGCCCGGGCTGCGGTGCGGAGATCTTCAAGGGTCTTGTCTGCATCCAGTGCTGTAGACTCTTCTGATGTGAAGACGGCCTTCAATGAAATAGGTTTAGGGAATTCCTTGGAAATAATGGCCAACTCCTGACAATGGCCATATGATAAGAGCGGAGTCGGGATACCATTATGAACATCAATCCGGGCTGAGCAAGACTGCTTACCAAAGGTAAGGGTAGCCCAGAAAGATCCCAACGCTGGAGCCATCTTGGAACCATCAGCTGTCAGTTTCGTTGTCTGAGGAGGGGGCTGTAGGTTGCTCCGGGGTATTCCCAAACTTGCTAAATGTTGTGGACCAATTACTGAGACGTCAGCACCGGTGTCAGGTAACATCTGAAGACTGGATGACGAGTTACCGTAAGAAATGACGACATTGATGTGCTGGGGCGTCGTGTCTGTGGAACTACGTACACGACGGCAGGAACGACTGGACACAGCGTCTTGATGCTTGCCAGAAGGAGGGGGCGCGCCAGCACTACCTGAGGATGACTTCTTGGATCCTAGGTGGTGTCCTTTATGTGTCTTCTTACGACAACATTTGTCATAATGGCCCACACGACCACAAAGTCTACACTGAACTTTGCTAGCAGGGCACTTGACTGTGTAAGCCCAGTGACCCTGGCGGTCGCAACTTCTGCACACGCTTTGAGCAGCTGGGCACTGGGAGGCATTATGCTGTCTCGCACAGCTGTTACACAAAGCTGCTGCTGAAGGTGTAGCTGGAGGGTGAGGGGTGGGGTTACCTTGCTGCTTCTTACCCTTTCTGTAGGAAGACACTGCCCTCACCTGGTCAGGCTGTGAGCGTAAAGCTGAAGTCGCACACCTGGCGGCCTCGTACGCTCGACATTTCGTAACAACATCTTGAAGGGAGGAAGTGGGGTCGAGGGAAATGAGACGCTGAACTAGCTCTTCATCTCGGACACCCGTTAAGATAATTGTCTTAAGTTGTGTTTCTTCACAGACTTGAGAATGTCCGGGACAAACATCAACTTCCTCTGAACACCTTTTGAGCCTTACAAAAAACGCGTCAAAAGATTCTCCCTCAAGCTGTTTACATTGGAGGAGTTGTCTTCTCCTGAGTGCTTCGTTGCGCTGTCCCTTGACGTGTTCCTGCAACTTGTCGAGCACGGCCTCTACCGTCAGAGTTGTCGTAGGAGGCACTTGAAGTGTGTGCTCGAGAGTACGTTGTGTCTCTAAGGACAAGCACATACGAAGCTGGATCATTTGTTTCGGCTGTGATAAACTTGACAAGTCAACCATTGTTGCGTAGTCTTGCCAACGTCGACGCCATTCCCGAAACATCTGATAAGAAGCGTCAGACATCAGAGAGGGAGGCGTCTGTACAGCAGCCTTTTGAGGTGTTGTTCCGACTCTGGAAAATGAGGTACCAGTACCTCTAGTCGCATCAACATCAGTTGTAGCAGACGAATCTTGTACGGTAGAACGTTGTGGGGAGGCTAACAGAGAAATCAAAGCTTCAAATCTGGCTTGATCCTCCTGTCTTCTAAGGTCATCCTCACGTCTACGTATCTCTTCGAGTTCTCTGCGTGTTTGTTCCTCTTTGTGGCGTCGTCTTTCAGACTCTTTGTACCTAATTTCTTCCTCTTCTCTCCTTGCCATATCGTCCTGGCGTCGAGAAGTTTCCATCCACTTTATCAGTTGAAGGAGATCTGTGGACGCATGCATCGCAGGAGAGCTGGCTCGCGACGAGCGAGGAGATTCTGTGGGTGACTGGCCACTGTCACTGTGGGGGGCGTGGGGCGTAATTGTGGGTGGGGAGATGTCTCCCACACTAAAACTCGTAACCCCATCGTCCAGGGTATCGTTATGATCCCTGTGAGACATGCCGACTGCTTCTATTCTCTATCTGTGCAAAAGATCGGGTCAGCCCCTCGTAATCTATGCACAGAATTACAGAAGTTTACAGTAAGTCACCAGAAATATAAGGTGAATGCGTGTGTGTGTGTGTGTGTGTGTGCCTGGCGGGAGGGGAGAGACTTGGCGCGCTGCCAGACGTAGGAGCGAGTGGCCAGCGTCGCTAGCTCCTCAGTCACCCTCAGACCAGAGACGGGAGAGCACGTACTGTCGGGTCGCTCCCTTAGTCAGCTGACCGCAACTTGCACAGACAATTATGATTAAAATACACAGCACAGCACTTCACAAAACACTTCACTTCACAGCACAGCACTGTACACAGCATAGCACTTCACAACACTGTAAGTCTAGAGGCTTGTAGTAGTCTTGCTGTCGGCTGAAGTGGAAGAGACGCCATAAACAGAGTCCGGGGAAGGCTTGGTCCACTGAATCTCACTGAGAAGTAATCACTGCGCCATCTAGCGTATTGCCAGATACCCAAAGAATGTTCTATACTACTGAGGGTATATACAAACACTTGTTGTCTTTAAAAGTAGGTTCTATTCTCGTACGGGAGATAATATTACAGTAGGAAGCCTGTGGGCACGCCACCAGGACTCGGTCTTAACTACCTCTACATCTATCTATGTATTACTACGCGCTGGCCTATACAGATGCCAGCATTCACAAGCTGAATACATAAAGTATAAATGTGATAATTTATATACATAATATGGTGCACAATAAATAGAATATTACATAGAATTAATACATGTTCTGTAATACTTTACTATACATAATTAATAAGAGTAATATACAATATACAGCTGAAGGCACTACTTTGTGTCCATATATATCATACAGAAAGCATAGTTTTATAATGAATAGGAGAGCCATGGGAAACACAAACATCTTGACTAAGTTGGGTTTCTTTAATTACTAACTTTCGAAATATAATTTTCCATCATGAAAACCTAGAAAACAGACAAAAAAAAATAAAAAATACAGGTAATATACAATAAAAACAAAACATTACTCTAAAATTTACCTTCCACAAAA